ATTTTTTACATCAAAAGTAAAATGATGATTGAATGTGTAATACTGTCAATAAAGAGAAAGTTAACATCTTTAAAGAATATAATTTTGAAAAATAAATTGAAATCCTTGTTATAACTGTCCAAACTATCAAATTCACAGGTTAGAATTCTAACAGTAAGCAAATGAGTACTATTCATTTCCCGGTGCACCAAAAATAATCTGAGCATAAATGAGCTTTATATCAGATCAAATTAAAATCAAATGGGTCACAAAAATGACCGTTATTTCCATTTTCATTGGTCCTTTCTTCCATCCCTTGAATTCCCCCATGCGCCTCAACCTAGCATAGCAATAAACTGTACAGCACTGCCAAGCACCATCCTTAAAGGCATAGGGGTGGCAATCTACTGGGATCTGTCAATACTTAGCCCTTATTGCCCCTGTAAAATTCCCATTTTTTCCCCATTTTTTCTCCACCCGACCGACTTTCCTTTGATTCTCTTACCATTATAGGCCCCTGTGCATGAGCTTTCTTAAACTAATTAAATCATGGTTTTTCATTCTTAAACTTACCTAACTTTGATTTTTTTAAACTGCCCCTATGCTTTCAACATGGAACATTCATTAGCATATATATATTTTTTCACAGAATCATGTATAAAAAAATCAAATAATAAATTCCAATTTGCCAAGAAGCTGGTTTACATAAATAAATGAGAGTGGGAGCATTCATTTTCTTACCTTGGCAATTTCTGTCTGTGCTTCTTTCAGTTTTCTCTTGTAGCGAGCAACCTCTCCTTTAAGCTGGTGATTATGATTCTGTAAGCTAGTGATCAAGTTTCGCATTTCTCTGTTGATGGGACCTGAACAGAAAGCTTTACTTAGACCTGGGTTTTCAATAAAGAAGCCCTAACATCAAATAATTAAGGACATCACGCAAGTTTTAAATCACTTAAAATAGCGAAACAAAAACAGTATTTTCTTCCCACTCACCAGTCTGCTCATTGGCAGCTAAGGTTTGTTCAAATTCAATTCTCAGCATCTCATACTCCTTCCTGACTTGGGCCAGGGTATCTTCTAGCTGAATCATTTCGGTCCTAAGCTTCTTCTGGCAGGCAAGCTCATCGCTCTACATCAAAAACATAGGGTCTATGCATCAGTGGTTTCAGATACATTTTGTAACATATTTGTTAATCCTTGGTTTGTGTAAATAACAAAACCGATAAAATAATAAAAACTTCTGTGTCTCCACATGAAAGGGGATTTTAGCTGATCTGGCTATCTACAGATATCTTATCAATAGATTAGACAAGCAGCTTCAAAATTCAAAATCTTTTTTTCAAGGTAAATCTCACATAAAAAAATCTCCTTACCTCCATTTGTTCAATCTGCCTTAGATGAGCATTTTTGCTGCTTTGAAGGAGGTTTCGGCTCTCATCTAGCTGAGTTCGGATCTGCATACACTCATTGTACAGCACGGAAAACTGGGACTGCAGGCTCTTGTACTCGGATGTCTCAACTATGACACTCTCAGGCAGTTCTTTCAGCTGAAGTGTACGATACAAGAACATATTGATTTAAGAAACAGGTTTTAGTCATTTAAAATGTCTGTACATCTTAACATTCACCCTACACGTTTTTACTTGAAGAGGTGATACCTTGCAATACCTGATGAACATATTTCAAACCTGAAATAACGAAATCTCTGTCAGGTAAAACTGTATACTATCTTGAAGCTGATAACTCATACCTCCATCTTCAGACGCTCTTCCTCCTTCACTGTATCTTGATGATTTTTCTGCAGATTCTCCAGCTCCTGAAGACGCGTACTGGCCAGCTCACGTTGTTCTTCAAGTTCACTTGTCAGTTCTTGAAACTGTTAATAATTAAAATACATGTCATCAATGTAATTCCTTAAAGTTATAAAGATAACTATATAAAGAGAGAGAGAGTAACGAGAAAACTAATGAAAACTGAAAAGTTATCAACAGCAATGCTTATACTTTTAATAGTAAGATGCATCATTCAAATCATTTTAAGAGTTTTCTAATCAAGTATCTGACAAAGACTTCTGTGAACAAACTAGGCACCATTTTTCTATATACCTTGGACTTTGACACCCCTTCGACTCCACCACCTCCCTCGCCCTCTACAGTCACCACCTCGGTCTGGCTCTTGAGCTTTTGGGCAGCCTCATAAAGCTGGAACTCAAACCTCTGAGCACTATGAGTAGTATTTCCAAGGTCATACTCCAGGTCATCAATTTTATTTTTCAATTCTGCAATCTCAGTTTCTGCTGCGGTGAACTTTTCTTGCAAGTCTGAATGCTAAAATGTGAACAATTAAGGTTGAAATGTTATGGGTCCAACAACAGCTTGGTGATGGCCATGGGTGCATTGACAGCCTATTTACTGTGTAATAAAATGAAAAGTACTTCCTATTTTCTTAAAACTGCTTTTGTCTGAAAAGATACAATTCTCTGAAACATTCCGATGCATGTTTTCTAATTCACTACAACATAAATGTGAAATACCTTCAATGTAGTAACATGGTGGATTTCCTGGAGCTTGGTCACCAAGTTCTGCAACCGTTTGTTTTCCTTCTGCAGGTCCAAAAGTTCAGTTTTCACTGCTTCACTTAAAATTTGTTCCCCATTCTTTTTCTCTGGCTTTTCCTCATCTTGTTTCTCTACACTTCCTTCCTTTTCACCCTCTTGGTCTTCAGTTTCTTTCTGTGCACTGCTCTTGCTGTCATCTTCACCCGCTCTTTCTGTTGTTTCTGTTTTCAATTCTTCCTTCATGTCTGCTTTCTGGGCATCACCTAAAGGAAATTGACCTTTGTTTGC